AAGAGAAAATATTGAATTTCCTCTTTCTCCCGGTCGAGAAAATTCTACCGTTAAAAATGGAATCTCAGTATAATCTAATATTTGAATTTTTGAACATCAAACAGGATATAAAATAAGCAGAGGCGTAAATTGAGTTTATTTAGCCTTTATTGAGAGAACGAACAAAAAAGGGTAACCATATGAACTTAGAAATACTCTGATAAAACAAATTAAATTAATAATGATACTGAATCAGTGTTTCAGAGATAGTTAAATATATCAGGTGATTAAAATTCTTCCCTTTTATATTATGCACTTGAGTATTTTGCATTACGATAACAATATGAAATGAAATGCAAAGAAGAAAAAAAAATTATCATGTGTTGTTCAAGATTTCTGGGAAAAGATTTGTTGAATATAATGACACTACTACTATAGCTACAATTGCAAGTAATGGTGATAACAATAGGTTAATCACGATATTAATATCATAACAAAAATAACCGCTATTATCATTGTTATCATCACTGATTACAGTTATGATGATGATGATGATACCCAGTGGTGAAAAATAAAGATAATGATGATGAAAATATTAAAGATAATGATAATAATAATGATGATGATGACATTAGTGATAATGATGATTATAATGATAATAATGATAATAATAATAATAATAATAACCACAACAACAACAACAATAGCAATAATAATGATAATAATAATAATAATAATGATAATGATAATAATTATAAAAATAATAGTAATAATGAAAATAATAACATCAATAGTAATAATAGTGGCAATGATGATATTGATAATGATAATAATAGCAATAATAATGACAACGATAATAATAATGATAATGATAATATTGATCGTTATAACAATAATGATAATAATAATAATTATAATGATACTGATGATGATAATAGTAATAATAATAATAACAATAATAGTAATGATAATAATAATGATACTAGCAATAATAACGATGATTGTTATAATGATATTGATAAAGATAAAAACAACAATAATGATGATAATGGTGGTGATAATGGTGTTAATGACAATGATAATGAACATGAAGGTGATGATTGTGATGATGACTGCAATAATAAAGGTGATAATTCGTATAAGACTAATAAGAGTAAGGAAAAGAAGAAGAGAAAGGAACAGAATCACTGAAAATCACGACGGGGACGATAAGATAACTGTAGCAATAACAATGATAATTATGGTGATGATAAATGTAACATGAACAAGAACCACCACCATAATTAATCATTAATCAACTTATCACTTGACCTTTTTATTTAACCTCAGGAGTTCGTTTTTTTTCCGCCAAAGCATTCTGAGGGTAAAAAAAAGAATCTCTTCTGTTATCAAGAGATAAACATGTACTATAAAGTGAAATAACTGTAATGCTGATAAGATCTTGACTGAAAACAAAGGCAAAGAAAAAAGGAGGATCACAGCAGATATGAAGTCTTGGACAAAATAGCTTACTAAGAATGAAACTTCGGAATCTGTTGAACATAACGAATTTCATAGCATCTTTTATACGTCTGATCCCTGACTAAGCCGTCACCCCATATGACACATAATTATTGTTGTTCTTACTGACTTTGCATTTGTATTAGTTGTAGCTTCATCACCATCATTCTTATTATCACACTAAATATTTTATCCATATATTTTCCTGTAAAAGTGATAGAAGAGATCCTTGGTGTATTTAGTCCTTTTGTTTCTCTCTCTCCCTGCTCCTCCAAACCTCGTCTGTTTATTTTCACTCTCTTCAGCTTCTACTTTCCCTCTTTCTGTTTGTCCTTTGTTTTATAGTCTTTCCTATCTTCACCCTCCCTCTCCCTCCGCCTCCAAATTCTGTATTGTCTCCTTTCACCTTTTTCGCTCGTACCTCCCTTTTTTTGCTCATTTTCCTCCCTTTCTTCCCTCTCCTCCTTTTCCTCCCGTTCTTCTCTCTTCCTCATTTCCCATTTAACTTTTCTTCATTCCCTCTACATGCCCTTCTAGCTTTCCCCTTCTCTCTTTCCCTTCTGATTTCCCACCCTTTCTTCGCCTCATTTTCTTTCCCTCCTTCCCTCCCACCCTTCCTTCTCTCCCTCCCTCCTTCTCTCCCCCCTTCCTTCTCTCCCCCCCTTCCTTCTCTCCCTCCCTTCTTCTCTCCCCCCCTTCCATCTCTCCCTCCCTCACCCTTCCTTCTCTCCCTCCCTCCTCCCCCCCCTTTCCTTCTCTCCCTCACTCCTTCTCCCCCCCCCTTCCTTCTCTCCCCTCCCTTCCTTCTCTGCCTCCCTCCTTCCTTCTCTCCCCCCTCCTTCTCTCTCTCTCCTTCCTTCTCTCCCTCTTCGAACACGTGGTCAGGTGCAGTCACACATGTATTGTGCCCAGCCTGCATCTTTTATCTCCCTAATTATTACATATCTTACAAAGCATCTTATCAGTCATCACTACCTACTTCTGTCGGCGTTCTCGTCTCCGCTGATAAGGCCAGTGGGCG